AGAGAGAGAGAGAGAGAGAGAGAGAGAGAGAGAGAGAGAGAGAGAGAGAGAGAGAGAGAGAGAGAGAGAGAGAGAGAGAGACGAGCTGCTTACCTAGTGAGGCTGCAGCTGAACGTCTGGATCTGACGCCCCTTTTCACGCCAGAAGCAGACATACGTGATGGGGTAAGAAGACCCTGTCGAGCTTGACTCTAGTCCCAAACTTTGAAAGGACGTGAGGAGGCGAGGGGCGCTCGTTCGTTTTCATTCCTTACAAGGGAGAAATAAAGTAATAATAATAATAATAATAATAAGTAAAAAAAAAAAAAAGGAAAGAAAAGAAAACTAAGAAGGAAAAAGAAACGGTCGCATATGCCGCTGTGATTGTACTTTAGGTGCATATGAACAGGACTGAGTGTGAACAGCGGCCCGTGCAGGTAGGGGGCACTTGTTTGTAGACCAGGAGGTGGTGTAGCCTGAAGTTCTTTTCTTTTTGGCCCCTTGGGCGGGTGGGCCGCTGTTGAGGTGCCACTGTTGGGCCACTATTTGGCGGGAACCTGGGCCCGGTCTGGAGATTTCTGGGTCCTTCTTTTCGTGGCTTGTCTTGTGGTTCCTTTTTTGGTCTGCGCCACTGTTAAAAAACAGCTAGTGATACGTCAGAAGTCACTCATCGTGACGTAGACCCCTGAGGAGTCCGGTACGGCGACCGGACGAAACATGTCGGGTCATCCGCCGCCTAGCTTGGTCTTGATGTTGACGATAGGAGCATGACGCTCGCTTACGGTTCCAAGCTTGTTGGGTTCGATCTTCATGTTTATCTTTAAGCCTTGTCACGTTCGGGAGGATGCTGACGTGTCGCAGTGTGTTTGTCTTTCTTTTCTCCCTGTCTCTTTTTTACTTCTTTCTCCTTTCTACTATGGTCATGTCTTTCTGGTCAACGCACTGTGTATTTGGTCTATGCACGATCTTTTAGGTCCCTCTGGCCGACGTGTGCCTAACTGATGGAGTGACTCATGTATGATGACAACCATGAATGTTTGTGCAGTCTTGTGCCTGCCTTCATTCCGACGTGGGAACCGTCGTAGCGATAGTACTACGATAGTGTGACACGTTTTGTTATCATTGTAGTGACCTTCTGTCAAGAACTGGCGGACGTTCTCTTTATTGTTTTTTATCGTTTTTGGTGGCGTTGGAGAAATGGCGGCTGCACGACCTAATGCGAGGTGTTTTCAGTGTGGCTCTATGAGCCATTGGGCACGGGACTGTCCACAGTGAGTGGGCGTGTACAGACCACCGACGACTAGTGCGAATGCTATTCCGACTGGTAATGTTTTGTTGGCATTACCCGCTCCAAATGATGTTTCGACCACCGTTGCTCACGCCTCGGTTAGTAACCAGGTGATGTCGAATACCGGTTATCAGCAACAGGCAAGGCCTGGATGGTGGAAGGCGAATCAAGACCGTCTCGACAAATGTTGGGGGAAGCATTTGGAGGATGAGCAGAAGGAGAAAAGGCGAAAAGAGGAAGAGGAGAAGGCGAGTAAGCTTAAGGAAGAGGAAGATCGTAAGATGGAGTGGAAACGTGAAAGGGGGCTGTTCGAGCGGGAGATGGGTGAGCGATTGGATAAGAGAATGGAGTTATTAGGGCTCTCGAACAAAGACAAGACTGTTGTATGTGACAAGGGCGGCAACAGCCAGATGGATGCAGAATTGACGCGACTAAGATCAGAGAATGAGGCGCTTAGAAAGAGGTTGGAAGGAGCTGATTGCTCACAAGGGGATGACAAGGTTACCTGTCTGCAACGGGAACTAGCGGAGCTGCGGAGGCAGGTGATGAGTAAGCAGACGGATGGCGATAAGATTTATGCGTTGAAGCAGGAGATTGAGGAATTGAGGGGTACAGCATACGTGAAGACCAATTTCGAGGCTGAAATTGTCGGGCTTCGAATGGAAATCGATATGCTGCGGAAACAGAGCACGCGAGCGGAGGAGGAAGCTATGATTTGGAAAAATGAAGCTCTACGTCCAGGAAATAAGCGCGGGAACGTCGCGGTCTCTACTCCGGAATGTTCTAATCGAGGGACCCCGAAGCCGCGCTGGACTAACAACATCAGACCGACTGACAAATGGAGAGAGGAGCTTCGTAAACTTCAAGGGAGCCAACATGCGTCGAACGTTGAGGTGGCGATGCTGAAGGAAAAACGAGCTGAGGCAGAAAAGAAACGAATGGAGGCAGAGATGCAAGTTAAGAGTCTGCAAGAGAAGTTAAGCAAACTGACTGTTGAAGATGACGACAAAGAACCAGCGGCGGGACGAACCAATTTGAAGGAGCCTTTAGAGGCGGTGACCATGAGATCGGCCAGGAAGGGTAAGAAGGCTACTCCTGGGAGATGTGGTCAGAGTACCGACGAGAACCAGGATAAGGGGCTGGAAGTGAACGATCGTTATGCTTTTGTTGAGAATGAGAAGAAGAAGTTGCGTTTGTTAAGGAAATCGGGGCTGGAGCCCTTTTGTAAGGAAGCTGGGATTAAGCTTGGTCGTGTTGAAGAAACAATCAACGAACTGGCAGAGTACCGGGCTAATAAGGTGTTTGGTAAGGAGGCGGATAAAGGGAAGAGAGCGAGAGCGGGAGGGGAAAGCTCGGTGCATGTCGTTGAGGACGACGAGACGCAGGCCACTTCCGATGGTCCGAACGACACGGTTGAGAGAAGTGTGGAGCTCTAGGGGGACGTCCCGAGCGTGGCATATTTATGGTCGCTAGCTAACGATTGTCGGTATAAACGATGTGGAGTTAACCTTGTTTCGTCTTCTTATTACCCCTTTTCAGGTCGAACGGGGGTTGTCTCTTCTTCCTCTTTCTGTGCTCCGGTATCTGGTAGCTCTTCTCTTTCTTCTTCTCTCACCTCTTCTGCTGATTCTTCAGTATCGACGAATTTCTTTTTGAAAGATCGTGAGTTCAACGCATTCTTTCGTCTGCTCGTGGTGTACCTGATAGTAAGTGGGGAGGTGTCTTGGGCTGAGGGACTGAAAGGGTATCTACTTGAGCGCTTGGCGGAGGGGTTTGACTTCGAGCGGTGTGAAGGGCCGCTTGTGTACGCGCTGGTTTCACCTGGACGCGTCATTTGTATATTGGATCGACGACACAATCGTTACCCGTAAGATGGAATGAGCATGTTACTCGAGCGCTTAATCCGCAGGTGGTGAACGAGGGGAAACGTAACAATAGACTTTATAGTTGGCTGCGGCGTTGTAGGGTGGGTTAGTACGTTGCTATTCCGTTATTTACGTGTGAAGAAAGAGACGTTTTGCATCGGGAGAAAAAAGTGATTCAATGGCTGTGTCCGCACTTAAATAGCAAGGGTAGGGCACGTAAAGGACGGCGCAGGAGACAGGGCAAGAATGAGAGAAGGAGGAAGATGAATCGAGATAGAAGGGTATTGCCGAATGGACGGTATCAAACCTTTTTGACTTTTCACTCCACTATTTTTGTGAGTTCGCCTCGTTTGTCGGTAATCCTTGAAAAATGTATGGAGGATAAAATTTCATCGGTGGGAATTGTGTGTAGCGGTGGGGATAAGCTGGCGGAGGACTGGAAACTTTTAAAAAGGAAATTTGGGTCATCTGTGGTCCATTCCGACAATTTCATGGGTCCATTGAAGAAAAGTAGAGGTTTGTTTGAAGTTGGTAAAGGGCTGTTGATATCAACGATTGTTCCCTTTCTTTCTCGTGCTCTTGCTTTGAAACCGTCTTTGGCTGGCTTGCTGTCCAACCCATCCTCCCGTAAGGAACTGGTTAGGTGGGACTTCTCTATCTTGGTAAGGGCGTTCTCGACTATTAGGAGTTTTTCCGACAAACGGAGCCGATACCAACTGCGCCTCATAATTTCTGGGACCATTAGGAGGCGTTTTATTTTGAACATTCGGGAGCGGCTTCTGGTGCGAGTTACCTATGATGAATCTCCAAGCAAGTCGGGGATCAGATCAATGTGTGCAAAATGGATTATGCGTGCGGAGGTTGAGGAGGAATGGAAGAGAATGACTGTGCGGAGGATGAGGGTGGTGTGGTTGAAAAACAAGAGTGTTGGAGACGCTCTTTTTAATTTTAGAACGTTCGCTTCTGAAGAAGAGGTCTGTTGTACTTGTGTCTCCTCCTCTAGGGACTTCCCACGAGTTGGTGATCATATGCTTTTCCGGACGAATGAGTTGGTGGATGCACCCAACTGGCTAAAGAACAATAAGAACGTAGCCCGATCGTCGAAGGAAGATGTTGTTGGGAGGCTGAAGAGGCAGATCTGTGCCTCCCTCAAGGGTCTGAGTTTCGAGGTGCCTATGGTCCGACACTGTGATCTATTGCCTTGTCTAATAGAGGGCAGGAGATAGCTTGGGAAATGGTGCATGGAGGAGGATGTGGACATTTGGATGGAGAATCTCAGAGGGTTGGTGAGAACTCCGATCGATCACAATCCGGGGGATACCCTGGTATGCTGTCCGTTATTGTATCACAATGGTATGTGTAAGTTGTTCCTTGACAATCCCGGTTTTGTTATCAGGAATGAGAAGGAGGAGGTCCTGTTGGAGGACGCACGACGGAAGTATGCGAGTCTGGGGCTGGGGGAGCTTGCGAAGTGGGATGCACGGGGCAAACTGGGAAGGGTCTATGTGGTTCTAAAACACAAGGATGTGCAGAAGTGGAGACCGATCTGTCCATCCTTTCCGGAATGTAGTGTGAAAGCTAGCCGGAAGATCTCACAGGTGGTCAATCAATTGGTCTGGGAGCTACCTGAACACCCGAATTTCAACTTGAAGAGTACTGATTTGTTGATAGAATCAATCGATTGGATTAACATGGATCTGAGGAAAGGAGAGGAATGGCTTACTGCGACCTTTGACGTGAAAGAAATGTTCTGCAATCTACCTCATGCATCCATCATGAAGGCTATTGATTGGCTGATCGATTTTTGGCAGATGCAAGGGATTGGGGGGGTGTTGGTCAAAGAGAGGGGAAAAGGAGCCAAGTTGCTACGTGGGCGGACGCAGGAAGGATGGCAGATGGTTGAGTTAGACACCATCAGGGTTTTCTTGAGTTTTGATTTAGGACATACCTTTATCTCCGCATGTGGAAGGGTGTTGCAGCAGAAAATAGGTATCCCTATGGGAAAACCGTCTAGTCCGGCGGTTGCGTGTTTACTATGTGTCTTCTCTGAATTTTCCTTCTTGTCCTCTCTGGGTAGCAATCGGTATTTGGTGCATGGGGTGCGTCTTGTTGATGACGTATCTCTCTTCGTGAGGTATCGGAGTGAAGACAAGAAGTCATTGGATAAGGCTAATGAGATTATGAGGCTTTTCGAAAACTGCTACGATAACAACCTAACTTTGGAATGTACAAACAGATCAAGAAGCTGGGACTTCTTGGGGTGTGTGGTCCACGTCTTTGATTGGCCGGTGGGCATCAGATGTGCAGCTGTGCACAAGAACCAGAGAGTGGTTATGCAGAATGGGGTGTGCTTTCAAAATCTGCAGGATGACTGCTCTTATGTCAGTAAAAGGCAAAAGATGGCGGTGGTAGGATCCTTTTTGCATAAGGCTAAACGCTATACCTCCATGCCGCCCGCTGAGTTTGCTTTTTTGTTTGCTTTGAAGATTGAGTTGAGACTGAGGGGGTTCAAGGATCAGATCTTTGATAATGTCCTTGTGAACTTCTCCTCTAAGTTTGGTGGGATTTGGGATGATTGGGCTTCTCTTTTGACAGGGTGGGACATATTTTTCTCTTGAGCGAATATGGTTGGGGCTTAAAGGGCCCGTGCAGGTAGGGGGCACTTGTTTGTAGACCAGGAGGCGGTGTACCCTGAAGTTCTTTTCTTCTTGGCCCCTTGGGCGGGTGGGCCGCTGTTGAGGTGCCACTGTTGGGCCACTATTTGGCGGAAACCTGGGCCCGGTCTGAAGATTTCTGGGTCCTTCTTTTTGTGGGTTATCTTGTGGTTCTTTTTTTGGTCTGCGTCACTGTTAAAAAGCAGCTAGCGATACGTCAGAAGTCACTCACTGTGATGTAGACCCCTGAGGAGTCTGGTACGGCGACCGGACGAAACATGTCGGGTCATCCACCGCCTAGCTTGGTCTTGATGTTGACGATAGGAGCATGACGCTCGCTTACGGTTCCAAGCTTGTTGGGCTCGATCTTCATGTTTATCTTTAAGCCTTGTCACGTTCGGGAGGATGCTGACGTGTCGCAATGTGTTTGTCTTTCTTTTCTCCCTGTCTCTTTTTTACTTCTTTCTCCTTTCTACTATGGTCATGTCTTTCTGGTCAACGCACTGTGTATTTGTTCTATGCACGATCTTTTAGGTCCCTCTGGGCCGACGTGTGCCTAACTGATGGAGTGACTCATGTATGATGACAACCATGAATGTTTGTGCAGTCTTGTGCTTGCCTGAGTGTGACTACTCAGTCTGGTATGTGCAGACTGAAGATCCATTGTTTAAAAATGGTAAGTTGAGTCTGGCTGCGACGTACCTGCACTCAAATGTGTGTCAGGTACATCAAACTTGAGTTGTATCTCTTCAAAGAAAGGTCAGGAAAATAAAAGAAAAAATGTATTGAAAATGGCAGGAAGTCAGATATCTTGTGAAATTACGAGATAGTTGAGGTAAAAGAAAAAAAAAAAGAATACAGACAGTTAAAAGTAACTGTCTGCCTAAGTGTGTGGCCCAGGCTCAGCCACACTAAGCCATCGATTTGACTCAGATCCATGGCTTAGCTTGAGCCCGTGAATTCACCTGGGGTAAAGGAGTGCTGGGCAGCTTCCTCCAACAACTATAAAAGTCAGCCTCCTACCCAACAACCTCACAATGTGGCAGTGCTGCTGGAACATTTACTTGAGTGGATGATGGTTGGCTGCTACTGTGGGGAGAGGCTGCAGGAGGAGGAAGGGAAGTGCCGCTAGAGGAGAAGTGGAGGTCTGCAAGGGATTGAGAGTGGAGGAGGCAGCCATAGCTAAAGGTTGGGAGCTTTTTGCCCCACCCTTGTGCCTGGGTTGCGGAGTGGTGTGTGAACTGCGGCTGTAGGGCTGCAACAAGCTCGAACCGTGCGACAAGAGGCTCACAACGGGGAGGTGCTGCCCGACGATTTGCACAGTAACAAGTGACATATTGAATGAGGAAGCTGCGCTGGCGTATTATTGAAAGGTGGTGTTGTTGAAATTTTGTGCGGCGCCACAGAATTTTTGCAGCGGTAGTGAGCGAGGCATGGTATATTCGACAATATTTTAAAGGGAGGTGCTGCCGAAATTGCGATGCAAGCCTGTAATTTTATGCCAGTCAGGGTTGTTAGGCCGAACGTATGGAGACCCCTAAGCTGACCCCCGAACGTTCGGGCGTTCGGGTCCCCGTACGGGGCCCGAACCTGAAGGGGTTCGAACCCCGCAAAAAATATTTTGACACCTAATTTTATTTTATTTTTTTTCTGAAAATTTTTCTGTGAGTTCTTTATGATGTAAGGTATCTCCCGCTTAATTTTGAAGTCATTCTATTCAGCTAAAGAAAACTGAAAAATCGACAAAGATGGTGGTGTCAAAACTTGTTTGCCCACTCACTAATATGTTTTTTTTTTCTTTTCACTTTTTGTTTTTCCTTTATTTCAAGGCATGAAAAAAATTATTATTTTCTTAAACTTTATTTGTATATTCTCTATTACGTAAGATACACATATATAAATTTTCATAGCATTTGTAATATCCAAAAAAAAAAAAAAAATCACCAAAGATGGCGGTGTCCAAAACGTGCTCGCCCACTTAATAATTCTATTTTCGTTTT